TTGAGGGACACAAAAGAAGGACAATCAGAGGTTCCCTCCTTTCCTCACTGGACTCCTAAGGTACCATGTCCCCATCACTAAGAAACCAGGTTCTCTATACAACTTCTTTGGCTTTCAGGTATTAGGGTTTAGCAGGCATAGGAGCTTTGCTGGCTTGGGGGCTTCTGGACTGGGCCCAGGGGACAACGTATGAAGACAGTGAGATTGCCTTGGGATTCCAGTTCCCTCCTCAGCTGGTATTTGACTTTCTAGCTCTGCTGGGCTGGATTCTATCGTTCCCTTAAGTACAGCTGTCCCTCTGAATCTGCAGGGGATTAGTTCCAGGACCTCCCCAGATATGGAAATCTGCAGATGCACAAGTTCTTTATATAAAATGGTGTAGTATTTGCATATAACCTACACACAGCTCTTACCATATACTTTATGTTTTTAAAAAAAAAAAAAGAGATGGGGTTGCACTATATTGACCAGGCTGGTCTCAAACTCTTGAGGTCAAGTGATCCTCCCACCTTGGCCTTCCAAAGTGCTGATCCCAGGCATTAGCCACTGTACCTGGCCTTCCCATATACTTTAAGTCATCTCTGGATTACTTAAAGACCTTAAATGCTATATAGTTATTACATATTTATTTATTTATTTATTTTTGAGACAGAGTCTTGCTCTGTTGCCCAGGCTGGAGTGCGATGGCACAATCTTGGCTCACTGCAACCTCTGACTCCCAGGTTCAAGTGATTCTCCTGCCCCAGCCTCTTGAGTAGCTTGGATCACAGGCATGTGCCACCATACCCAGCTAATTTTTGTATTTTTAGTAGAGATGGGGTTTCACCATGTTGGCCAGGCTGGTCTTGAACTCTGGACCTCAAGTACCTTGGATTATCTGCCTGCCCTGGACTCCCAAAGTGCTGAAATTACAGGTGTGAGCCACAGCCTGTAAAAATACTTTTTTTTTTTTGAGATGGAGTCTCACTCTGTGGCCCAAGCTGGAGTGCAGTGGCACAATCTCAGCTCACTGCAGCCTCTCTCCCAGGTTTCAGTGATTCTCCTGCCTCAGCCTCCCGAGTATAGCTGGGATTATAGGCACGTGCCACCAGGCCTGGCTAATTTTTATATTTTTAGTAGAGACAGGGATTCACCATGTTGGTCAGGCTGGTCTCCAACTCTTGACCTCAGGTGATCTGCCTGCTTCGGCCGGGTCCCAAAGTGCTAGGATTAGAGGTGTGAGCCACCATGCCTGGCCAAAAATACTAATTAAAAAAAAAATCACATTATTTAGTAATGTATTGCTATTTTTTGTGCTTTTTTTCTTGAATATTTTTGATCCGCAGATGCAAAACCTGCAGATATGGAGGGTGACCGTATGCTGTGTTTCTTTCACCCTAATCTTTTGTACTCACTGGCCACCCCCTCAGCATAAATACTTTTTCACTTTATCTGGCCAACTCATTCTTACTTCAGGTTTCAGCTTGGTTACCACCTCTCCTGGGAAGGCCTCCTGGCCAGCCCCCACCCCTTCTATCCTTCCCAACCCCATGGCATTTATCAGTAGGCTGTGTGTTCATGGCCACCTAGACTCTTGGTCTAGACTGCTTCATTGACCTCAGTCCAGGCAAAGCAGAGAATGTGCAAGTGAAGACACAAAGCAAACAAAGCTGGAAAAAGCCCTGGTTCTTGGAGCCTGACATGCTTCCTCCTCTCTGTCTCTTGTACCTTCCTAGATGTGCCATCCTGCTCAGTGGCTCTGTGAGTTTTCAGCAGGCAGGCTGGTGGGAGAGGGCCTAGAGGGGCAGCGAGCCTCCCCAAGGGGTCAGGGGCAAGGGAGCAGGCCTTTCTGAGGCCTGAGGCACAACACGGGGCTTGAGTGTGGGCAGGACCTGGAGTCCTCCATAGTGGGAGAGCAGGCAGCCCACACCTACCTCTTAAAGTACTCCACCTCTCGGTCAGTCTCATCCATCTCCACCCCGTCCATGTCCTTGGGCAGGAACACATCGTCTAGGAAGACACAGCCAGGAGGGCTCAGTGCCCATGGCCAGGCCTCTGGGGTTATGGTCTGGGGGCAGCGTTGCCTACACACAAAGGCTGCCCCTCCACCCCGTGGCCTGGCTGGGGTAGGGGGTCAGCCACTTGGTTCCTGGTGCACTCACCCAAGGAGGAGGCTGGCTTCTCCTGCTTGTTGCGGCTCCGGCGGCTGCGGCCCTTGCCCTGGGGCAAACTCTGTGGCCTTGCTGGGCCTGGGGGCTGCACAGATTCCTGCTCCGGAGGCCGTGCCTTGGCCTCGCTTGGCCAGCTTCGCCAGGAGCTGCCCTTTTCCTTCTCAATTTTGGGGCTGCCAGCCCAACCTGGTCCTGGCTGGCTCCCCTGGCTCCCCTCTCCAACCTTGGCACAGCTGCCTACTTTGGGAGGCTCTGGGACCTTGCCTGGCTGCTTGGGGCCAACGACCTGACCCTTGGCACTGGGAGCCTCTAGGCCGGCTGGGGGCTGAGGGGCTGGGTTTGCCTCGCTCTTCTTGGCTTGACTGCCCTGCCTCTTGCCCTTCCGCGGCTTCCCACCTGAGGCCACAGGCTCAGGCAGCTCCTGCTTGCAAATGGGAACATCCTTTGAGCTTGGCTCCTCAGCGCTGGGGTAACTTGGCTTGGGTGTCTTGACCCAGATCACCCGGGACAGGTTGGGCACCGTGTTGAGTCTCCTGACGAGCCCGTTCTCGGGGACGATACCAGGAGGGGGACCCCTCACCTCTACCCATGGTGGGTGGGGGCTTCTCATTTCCGTCCATGGTGGGGCTGGCTCGCCTGGAGCTTGTAACATGTGGTTCTGGGGGGAGGCCAAAGTCAAAGGGGACAGGTCAAGGTTGATGTCAGGCTGCTGCTCTGCCAAGCCACTGAGGTTTGAGGGGGATAGACTCTGAGGCTCGGGCTCAGCAGCTCCCTCCTTAGAGAAGCCATTGCTATCCATGCTGAGCTCACATACACTGAAGCTGGCACGGATGGAGTCCTTGACAGTGTTTTTGATCTCCTGCAGACGGCTGCTCAGGAAGCTGTTGACCCGATCCAGTTCCTGACTGGGCCACTCCAAGAGCTTTTCCGCGGCAGGCCTTGGCTCCCGGCTGCCAGAAACTCGATTTGCCTGCTTTAGAGCTTCTGCTGCCAACTGGGCCTTCTCCTTTTCCTGCCAAGACAAGAGGTAGTTTCAGCAGGGGCCTGTCAACTTCTAGGCACAATGTGATACCTGACCTATCAACCTGGGGCCCAGTTTTGCCACAAACTTGCTGGAGGCAAAGCCTTAAAATCCTAGCTTGCTTACCGACTCTGCAGGAGTGAGGGCAAAATGCAGCCACACAGGTGCATGTCCTGGTGGCAGGGGTACAGTCACACCCACAGGGGGTAGGGTTTTTACAGCTTGTTCACCCAGAGCCCCAGTCTCAGTGCACTCATCTGCACAATGGGGACAATAATTCCGAAGTAAAGCCAAAGTGGGGATGCATGTGAAGACTGCTACTAGATAGGCATTCTCTCCACCCCTGTGGGTGGTGGAAAAAAGCCACACCATCATGGGGTCTTACAGGAGGCAGGTGTCGGGGCAGAGACTGCTCTGGCTGGGAGGGCATGTGCCTTCCTGATGCTATGTCTGGGTATTACCAAAGAGGGCAGTGTTCCCGCAGAAAGTCCACTTGCTGCACACTTGGTCTCAAGTAATCAAGGCCACACCTAGAGTGTGCCCAGTGGCATACCATAGACAACCACACTGGCCTACACAGCAAGATGTGAGAGCTGCTCCTTACCTAAGTGAGGCTTGGAAGGCTCAGAGAGGCTGGGCCCTGCCAGTAGGCTTTGATACAACTGGATCTAGGGAACTGAAATGAGGGCTTGCTACCACCTCAGAGTCAACATAAAGAGGGTGACTCTGTGCCCCAGCAAGCAGGCACTTACTCTCATCTTTTGTGAACCCTGGCTCCACAATGGACTATGGTTAATTATTCTGTGGGACCTTGGACAAATCACTTATTCTCTCTGAACCTTACTTTCCCTATTTGTAAATTAGAAAGAGGAGGTATCTCTACATTCCAGGGTCACTATGAGGACAGCTAAGAGTCTGTGTGGGGTCCCTTTCCATGTGCGAAGGTGGGGCTGGGCCTCATAACCCTCAGGGAGCAGCTCATCCTGCAGCAGCTGCAGCAGCATTTCTAGCTATGGGTAGAGCTCAAAGGCCCTGGGTTTGGACCAATGAGGACAGAGGGCCCTTCACGCCGCTTCCCCCCAGCACCACACAGATTTCACAGAAAAGTTTTGCTGCTAAAAAAAAAGTCTGACAACTACTGGTGTGGAAGGAACCATATACACTCTGGTAGCAAGAGGAGAAAGCACAGAAACATACACTTTCTGCTCTATGGTGAGCACTTCCCATAGGTATCTCTTAACCCTCACCACTGTCTTTGCTGCATCATGACCCTCTGTTTATAGGAGAGAAACCTCGACTTTGGAAAGAACAGGAAGCGGCTAGGAAGTAGGAGAGCCCGGACCAAATAACCAGGCCTGTTCTTCAGAAGTTCATATGTTTCTCAATTCTGTCTGACCATTTACCAACCATTGAGGCAGTGGGGCAGGCCCTGAGTTTAGCGTACGAGCAACAGTCTCCGCCTCGCTGACTTTAGTCTGCTTGGGGAGACAACAGCAAACAGCCTGTTGAATTCAGAGTGACAGTGACAAGTGCTGCATGGAAGCAAGCACAGGGTGACCTGGGAACCTAGAGGAGGTGCTCCCAACCCAGACTGGGTCACCAGGGTGTGCTTCCCAGAGGCGGCAGGGAACTTGAGCACTGAAGGAGTTGGATCATCCTGGAGGCAGTGAGACAAGCATTTTCTACAGAGAAGGAATAGCAAGCAGAAAGGCTGGAAATGGAAAAGCTTCTGGGAATGCAAATCATTCAGAGGTATAGCTGGAGCCCAGATTTTTTAGGGGATGTGGGGGTTGGATGGGGCAGATGGGCAGGAAGGCCAGAAAGGAGAGGCTGATAAAGATGGCAAGCTGGGCGGGGGCTGACTATGAAGACCCCTGCAGGCCCTACAGGGTGTGTGCCCAAGGGCAATGTCCAGTCACTGATGGCTTTTAATGTAGTTGTAGTAGGGTGGAGAGCAGTGGACTGGTCTGAACTATCAGTGAGGTGTCATGGATAGGGCTTTTAGTGATGGGTAGGGACAGAAAATGAGAAAAGTCAGAGAAACATTGACGACCACTATGGCTGCCACAGCAGCTCCATTGCCCGAGCACTCACACGTGCCAGGCACTCTGCCCAACCTTTCCATGCATCATTCCATTTCATCCTCACAACAATCTGACTTAGGTTCTGTTATTCTCATTTTATGGATGAAGAAACTGAGGCTTAGAAGTTAAGTGATTTGCCCAAGGTCATACAGTAAGTGTCGCAGAGCCAAGCATCAAACTGAGATCCAGTTCCAGGCACGCTGCTCTGGGTTGCTATGATGCACTCCTCAGGCCGGCGCCCAGGGCTCCAGCTCAGGCAATGGGGTGGGAGGCAGTGCCACTGACTAGACAGGCCTCTTTGGAGAAAGACTACAAGCTGAACTTTGGATGTGCAGAGTCTGAGATGCCTGTGGGATGTGCACAACAAGGAGGTGCCCAGTAGCAACTGAAGATGTGGATGTGCAGGGCAGGGAGGAAACACTATCTGGCTGTTTCTAGATGGCATCTCTCTTTCCCAAGGAGATGTCCCTATGAAGGAGGGTCAAGTGGAGGAAGAGGAACTCAAAGGAACAGAAAGGACATCAGAGAGGAAGGTAAGAAATCTGGAAAACAGGGTAGTCCCCCTGCCCTTTCCTGCCTGGCTGAGGACAGAGGAGCCAAAGGCAATGCTTGAGAAGGAGAACAAACACAAAATGCCAGATGTTCTCTAGTGGACTGATATGACGGGAACAGGAGAGGAGAATGGATTTGGCAACAGAAAAGTCACTGGTGACTCTGGAGAGGGTGTGGGTAGAAAATGGTCTGCAGTGAGCTAACTGGAGGGGAAATGAAGACAGTGAATGCAGACATCATTTTTGAAGAAATGTGGATGTGACGACAGGGAAGAGGTTGGGAAGGGGCTGAGACAGGTAACAGGCTTTACTTCCAACAAAGAGAGTGGTGGACACAATGAAATGTGGATAGGAACAGAGGAGAGATTAAGCTATAGCAGGAGCCTGTGGCTGGGCTGAGGGGTCAAGAAAGTACCACATGGGCCTTAGGTGGGAAAAGGGAGATTCTCATGACAAGGAATAAAGTATGTTTGCAGGTGGGAATGGCAAGACAGCAGGAGAATCCCTGTACAGGGCTTTTCTCCTCATTGAAATAGAAAGTGAAGTTATTTGCCAAAAAATAAGGCATGGGTTGGTAAGGCCTTGTGGTTTGAGGCCTGACAGAGGGACTGTGGGGAATGGATGTGCTAAGGCACAGGAAGCCCAGGGAACCATGAGAAGCCTGCCTGGTGACATGGGAGCTCGGCAAGCAGAGTCCACATGGCTAGGTGCCACAGATTCACTCATGTGCTTTTCTTGAGATGTAGAACGGGAGAGCCAGGCTGGGGTGGAACCCAGGGCTGCGGTGTTTCTGAGTGGGTCTGAAGGAAAGACAGTGGGGCAAGGAATCGAGTACTGTTAAGAGAGTGAGTGATGGGTCAATTTGCCTGCCCTCTTACCAATACTTAGCAATGCTTACTCCATTCAAGTGAGTGAGGAACAGACTGGCCTGGGAAGAAGAGAAAGTGTCAGGAGAGTCTTCAGCGGATATGGAGGTCACAGATGACACAGCCAGGGGTGCAGTTTTAAAGGAGCAGGCTAATTGTCTCTCTGCTCCCTTCTCCCACTGCCAACCCATGACTATCCCCTTTGGGTAGACAGAAGACACCAAGACAGAAGGAGAGAGAGCCACGGGCTGGCAGTGGGAAAAGGGAGCAGAGAGACACTGGGTTGTATCCATCCGTTGAGGCAGGAGAGAAGGAGAAGCTGTCATGAAACAGCTACTGGGGGCAGCTAGGCTTTGGTGGACAGCTACACTGTGAAGTCTAGGAGGCAGGGGGAGACAAGGGAGGAGGCTGCTGTCTACAGAGATAATGACCACAGTCTCTGTACACATGATACTGCCACTGCCTATTTACTCCTGCCTGCAGCCCCACGACTAAGTCTGGAAAGGCAGGGTTGCCTGGTTCTGCCTGGGCCTGCCAGACAGGAGCTGTGCAGTGAGCTGTGGGACGAGTGAGCACGACCTGGAGATATATGAGGTGGGGCAGGAATACAGTGGAAGTTACCCAAGGATGGCTATGAAGGAGGAAGCAGCTGAACTGAACTTGGAAGGAAAGTTTGTCAGAAGAAAGGGAGAGAGAAGATAGCATTATCAGTAAAGGGAAGAGACATCTGGGCACACTGACTTATGAAAAGCACACCAGACCTGGGAACTGTCGGGTGTGCTCTCTGGTGATTTAACTGGGAACCACTGCCCTAAGAAGCCAGGAAAGGCCAGAGGGACTACTGCAGCCCACTGAACCTTTCTGGCTGGGTGACTCTGCATGGGAGAAACAGTGCTAACCACATTGAGAAGGCAGCGGTGGGAGGGCTTGGCTCACTACTTCAGGTGGCAGGAGAAGGATCCTGGTTGTCCTTGGGGCTGAAAAAGGATGGTGAATCACTTCTGCTTTCCAAAGCACTAGGGCTGTTTGACCACCCAGGAACTGGAACTAGCTGGTTGTTACACCCAAATCTCTTCGGATGCTGAGCTCCCAAGCGTGTCACTGTGCAGATGCAGTTGGGAGTAGGCAGATCAAGAGGTAATGAAGCCACAAGGGATAAGCCATCAAGCTCCAGGGCTCATCTGGCAGGAGGAAATAGCTCACTGGGTTCCATCCTCAGCCCCGAGGACTGGTTGATTCCCTTGGCTTCAATTACATCTCTGCGCTGGTAAATGCTAGCCCTGCACTTCTCCACTTAGATGTCTCACTGGAACCTTCGAGTCAACATGCCTCAACTGAATTCACTGTCTTCTGCAAATCCATCCTGGCTCAGTGAAAGGCACCACCATCTTGCTGGTCATCAAGCAAACACCTGGGAGACATCCCTGCCTCCATCTCCCTCTCCTGCCATCAGATCAATGGCCCAACACTTCGGCTTCCTCTGAAAATCCCTCTCTTCTTCTCTGGCCCCACCATTAGTTATCTCTCCCTTGGCCTGCATTTCCTGCCTGAGGCATCGAACTTGACGTCTTCCTGCCTGGAACCCTCCAAGCTACCTTCCATTTGGTCACGCTATAATCTTAGGATGCAGGTGTGACCAAGTGCATTCTGTGATTAAAACCCTCAGTGACTTCTCTCACCCGTAGGATAAAGCCAAAGCTCTTCCGCAGGGCCTCGGAGGCCCTCCCTCAACAACACTGTCCATCCCGCCTCTCTTCTGCTCAGTTTTGGCTGTCAAGCTCCTGTGGAATGTGCCGTGCCCGCTGCCAGGAGAGCCCTCCTGAGGAGTCTGTACTCACAGTCAGCCTCTCGTAAAGCCATTTCCAGGCAGGATGGGGGACTTCCCTCATCCCAGTACTTGTCACATGCTAATATGCTTGTCCAGTTTTGTGTCAGTCTCCCCACTGGACTCAGCTTCTCCTGGGTGAAAACTTAACTGTGTCACACTTTGGCTGCCAGTATTTGTAGAAGTGTCTGCTGAACGAATAAATGACTGACTGAAGCAAGTCCTCGGCTTGGAGGAATCCAGCAAGCAGCTTCACAGGCCAGGACACGTTTTTTTCCTCCAGTTATTTGCCCCCAGGTTCCCTGACCCTGATGCCTCCCAAACTCATTCAGACCTTCCCAGAACAGTAAGTCAAGCTGAGGCCGTTGGCAGCCAGCATCATCATGCCCCAGAAGTCCTGGGGGTTGGGGTGAGGGTCCTCAGGGATGAGAGATGGCAGAGCTGGGCTCCCCTACACCCACCTTCTTTTTCAGCTTGTGCCGGGCCCGCTTGGCGGCCCTGGCGCTGTTGGGGACTTTGGGCTCCGTGCTGTTGATGAATTCCAGCAGCTCATCCACATCTCGGTGGTCCACGGCGGGCTCCCCAGGGATCCCGCCCAGGGCGCCCCCCTTCATGGGCAGCTCCTCTTTCCGCCTGGTCAGCCTCGAGCGGAGCTTCTCCCGGATCTCGGTATAATTCCGACTCGTCGGGGCAGCGGGTGGCTGGGGGAGGGGGAGGTGCTGACATTACACCCTGGGCCTGGGAGGCCCATAGCACTCCCACCCGCTGGCACCAAGTATGTGATGAGAAGGAAGACAACTGTTCTCTCTACCATTAGCCACCAAGGCCACATGGCTTCACCCTCTCAGCCAGGCTGAACCCAGTGGCAGTGGATGAAAGGACTGGGAGGAAACAGGGCAGAACTGGGCAAATATTGACTGGGGAGCCAGGAAAACAAGTTGGAGCCCGGGCTTTATCACTAGGAAGCTGTATGACCTTGGGCGAGTCACTGAGTCTTTGTGAGCCTCAATTCTGTCATTTCTAAAATGAGGATAATAACCCCTAGCTCAAAGGTGACTATAGCAATTTAATTACTTTCATTTCTTCTATCCTCAGCTGCTCTACCCTAACCGGCGGCCCTCTCCTCTTCACCTTATGAGACTTCTGCACTGCTTCCTCCCCCTGGCCAGAGCCAGCATGCCCTCTGATCTGAGCCTCCTTCCTGGCGCCGTCTGTGCTCATGGCCTGTCCCTCGGCTGGCTGTCACACTTGGGGGACTGAGAGCCTTTTTGCTTCCACTCTGCCTTCATCACGCCCAAGCGTTCACTTCTCTGGGATTACACACGTATACATACTCATCAGAATCATAGCTCTCTGCCATTTCCTTTCCTTTCGCCTAAGGAAAAAAAGTCAATCTTAAGAGAAACCACGAGAAGAGCAAAGGTAGCAAAATGTTTAAAAACCCCTACCTCACAAATGTGCTGTGAGAAGCAAGCGAGCGGATGCAGGTGCGAGGACTCACACAGCCCCAGTGTGGTTGGTAATTACCACCATGAGCAAGGGGGCCTCTGGGGAGAGCAGGGTGCTCCTTTTGCTCACCTTGGCTGGCCCCCAGCCCTCTCTGGCCTGGGCAGGCTCACTCACCGCATTGTGGCCGAAGAACTCACAGTAGCAGCAGTCACAGAACTTCCCATCTCTCTGGTGGGTAGAGGACGAGGTGCAGGAGCTTCGCTCGGAGCTGCTATCCTCTTCCTCACCCAGCCCCTCATCTGCCTCACAGGGCTGGGGCAGCTGGCAAGCCAGGCCACTGTGTGCAAACTTGTGCCCCTTGCACCCAGGATCCCTGCTGATGGGGAGGAAGGCCCACAGGTGAGGGAGAGTGACACAGGAGTCCAGGAAGCATCCCAACCACCACCTGCTGTCCAAACCACCCTTCACTTGCCCCACTCCACAAAGATCCTAGGCAGTCCAACTGCATTGCACCTCTCACCACAACAGGGTGAACACCTGCACTGTCCCTCAGGGCCCATCCCAAACACAAATGTGGCTCTTCTGGAAAGAAGAGGACCCATGCCTCCCCTGCCTGCACCCACCATGCACCCCTTCTCAGGCTACTGAGCACACTGCACTCTATCCTCTGCTTATTGTGTGTCACTGTCATGGTGTGTGTGTGCATCCGTCTCTTAAACTAGACTGCACACCTCAAGGGCACGGGCTGTGTCACTTCTATTTTTGGGTCCCTGTGTACAGTATAAACAACCTTGCACACAGCAGGTGCTCAATAAATAGGTCTGAACCCAGTAGTGGGCTGATGGCTCCTCTGGAAAACTAGACTATCCACGAGGTCAGTCTCCTTTCACTTCTAAGGTGCTTCTCGGTCAAGTCTGGTGTTCTGGAGCAGTGGGTGGAGCTGCCTTAACCACAGGGCACAGAGTTGAGGAAAGGCAAGTGACTTCTGGGCCACAGACTATAAGAGCCACTGTTTGTGCTAGGTTCTGGATTCGGCATATTATTTCTAACCATCCCCCAAATCCTGCAATAGAAGTGTCATTATCCCCACTTTGCAGCGGTGGGGAGTGAAGCCGAAAACTTGAATGCTTTGCCCAACAGGTGGCCAGGACTCAAGGATGCAAACAGACCCTGACAATGATGCACGATGAACAGGAGGATAAAGTGAGGTATGCACAGTGCCCTGAGAAGGGATGCGTGGTGGGTGCAGGCAGGGGAGACGCAGGGAACTCAAGCCCCTGTTTCTCTCTATGCAAAACTCATACTCTCTTCACTGTTGTGTTCTGCCTCTGAATTTCAGGAAGCACTGGGATATCTTGTAATATAGAATATTTTCCCAAGGTAAGAATGACACATATGCCTGAAACATCCCATAATTTGAGCCAGGAAGAGAGACATCCCATAATTTGATGAGCAGCTGAAGCACCCACTGGGCTGGTCCCAACACTGGGGTGAGGCTGAGGTGGCAATGGAACCGAGAGCAAGAACGGAGCTCAAGGAGCTGTGTGCCCAGCTTCCAGAGCAGTCCAAAGCAGCCCTCTCTGCTGCTAGAAAGGATGCTAAACAAATGACAAGGATTAAAAAAGATGGTGGGAGGAATCATCATCAGTGGTGCTTACAGAAGTTTATTCCAAACTGACCATTCGTTATCTATTGCATTAGCAAAATTGATTTTATTTTTGAGATAGGCTCTCACTTTGTTGCCCAGGGTAGAGTTCAGTGGCACAATGTCAGCTCACTGCAGCCTATACCTCCCAGGATCGAAGTGATCCTCCCACCTCATTCCCAGCAACCTGAGTAGCTGGAACTAGAGGCATGTACATCATGCCCTAATTTTTAAATTTTTTTGTAGAGACAGGGTCTCATTATGATGCCCCTGCTAGTCTCCAACTCCTGGGTTCAAGGAATCTTTCTACCTTGGCCTCCCAAAGTGCTGGGATTATAGGCATGAACTAGCACACCAGGCTGCAAAAATGATTTTAGAAAAGTTAAAATAGTGTGCCTGAGAATATGGAAAAACCAGCACTCACTGGAGATTGCATCAATTTGGAGAGCCCTTTGGATAGCAGCTTTTCAATGTGTATTAAGAACACACTGAAAAACTCAAAAAGAACACAAAACACACAAAAAAACACCTAAACAGCCTTTGACTGATAACTTTTTTCATTCTGAAAACTTGATTCCAATGAGAAAAATCCAAAAGAGGAAAATGCTTTAAGCAAAGGCATCTTTAGAGACACTGTTGGTAATGTTAAAATGTTGAAATAACCTAAATGCTCAGCAACTGGGGAACAAAAACATGAATTGCAGTCGATGTTCTCCAGTCTTTGAAGCTAGAGGCCGAGAACACCACAGGAATACAAACATGCTGAGGAGGCAACGCTAAGTGAATGCTGGCGGGCAACAGACTGTGCAGACACTGTCAACCCCGCATGTGCAAGACACTGGAGACTTTCCAATAGGAAAATATAAATACACAATAAACACAGATCTGATTTATAACATAAAAGTACACATCTTCACCAAAGAATTCTCTTTCAAATATGTGTTAATATAACCTTTCTTAGTAGAGTTACTTCTAGGAATCTCCGTAAAGGACGTGATTTCTCATTCAAACAGATTCAGGTGCAGGGATGGTTATTATAGTTTCGTTCATCATGGTTAAAAAACTGGAAATGACTACATGTCCAGGAACAGAGGGAATGACAAAGTATGCTTGAGCTATATAGTAAGACATTATATGGCCATTGAAAAGTTTCTTGAAGAATTTTAACTGGGGAAATGATTATGACGTAATGTTAAAAATAACTACTACACAAAAGGTATATCAAATATCTAATTATGTTATTTATATACAGAAACATCATTTTGAAAATATACTACAGTGGTAGAATTTAGGTTGTGAGGACATTTTTCTTCTTATACATCTCTAATTGTTCTTCCAAGTTAAAGACAAAACAAAACAAAATACAAAACAAACCAACCCACGTTACTAGTTGTTTTTTTTTTAAGCTCTGTTTTTTTGAAGCCTGTCATACAGGCTAGAGTGCAGTGATCAATGCTCACTGCAACCCCAAATTCCTAGGTTCAAGCAATCCTGCTGCCTCAGCATCCTGAGAAGGTAGTACTACAGTTGAATGTCATCACGCCCAGCTAATTTCCAAAACTTTTTGTATAGAGGGGGTTCTCACCACGTTGCCTAGGCTGGTCTCAAACCCCTAGGCTCAAGTGATCTTCCTGCCTAGGCCTCCCAAAGCGCTGAGAGTATAGGTGTGAGCCACTGTGCCTGGCCAAAACACATACTTCTTTACAATTGGAAAAATAATGAAAGAAAATACATAGTCTACTCTTTAATTTCCACCTCAAAGTTACCTAAAAATTTTCCAAAATTCTGAGTTAAAGTGCTGCATTTGCCCTTCATGCAGCACACTTACCTGTGAGTGCTAGGGAGTGGCTGAGAGCTCGGGGGTGGGAGGAGAGGCCCACTGCAGTGCCCACCACAGTGCCCGCTGCAGGGGTGGCTGCACCCCGAGAATGGCGGGGGCATCTTCAGGAGTGGCATGCTGGTGGAAGGCAGATGGGAGCTCTGACATGGTCCTGGAGTGTGGGGGGTGGAGGCAGCAGCGACAGGGCACTCTGAAGCCTGGGCAGGGAAAGGTGCTGCCGGGGTGGTGGGCAGCAGGTGTGGGTGGGGTGGGGAGCCAAAGGAGCTGGGGAGAGATGGGATTAGAGATGCTGGCTGGGGGTGGTGGCCGGTG